ACTTCCCTTTAGAAGAATTCTTATTTGAGTGTGGTCGTTTGGAAGGACAAAAACATCGTAGCCAACTACCGAAGTTCCCAAAATAATCACCCAGAAGTCTGCATAAACGAAAAGTGTGGTATACAAACCCTATGTTGTATTATAACCTCTCTATGGCCGGTGGATATCGATCTTAAAGATCAGATGCTCCATGAATTCCCCGTAGAGAGAGTACGCAATATATGTTGGAACAAACAGCTTCTCCACTGGCTTCTAAGTCAAAATACATAATAAAAAGTCTAATTCTTTCCAGCCAATATTATCATCAGGTCAAAGCTCTGACTACCATCAGTGTCGTGTTGTAATAAGAAGTTTTTTATTAGAGTCAGATCCAGAGAGACTCTTATGAATTTGGTAAAAAAAACATAATAATCGGATACGAAATCTAACAAAGCTCGCAGTGCTTCTCAATAAAAATGAGCTCTGTACAGAAACGTATACGGAACGAAAAAGCATAAAACCTGTTAGAATGTCGTATAAAGTAACATATTGTATGCGTATTAGATCTAGGAAAATACGTTATCAAATAGTAACTAAATTGAAAAAATCTTTACTTTTATCTCTTATGTTATTACATTGATAATAAATTATTTGAATAAGGCTTAGACGTGTGTAATTATTTCATAATTTTTAAATAAGACGATTAAGTAAAAAATATCCGATATGACTTATTACCCAATCTTGTTTCAGGATGAATTAATAAAAGAACTGACTATATATTATTCCGATCTCAATATTTAGGAGTCATTGTACTTAAAAAGTATTTCTTTCATTATGTATGTTAGACATATTGATACGTAAGTATAGAGAAGGAAAACCTTTAAAAATTTGACAGGCAATTACTACGTTCTGATACTATAGCTATAGTGAAGTCTCAGCGGTAGGTCGTGGGAAGATTGCGGTCATCTGATTCGATTCGCTGGCATGGAGTAGGTACATCATAAGCGTAGCGGTCGTTCCCATGACCTATCACTTGTAGCGGTGCGGGCTGCTACTTGGCCTCTATGTTGATAGATTTTGTTCAATTATAACATGTATTCAGAAGAGCAACATGCAAGTTTCTAGCTCATTCTTCTTGTGATGAGTCTGCGTTCCGAATGAGTGGTAGAATAAAAAATATGACTATTCAAAAGTACTTGTATTGAGTTTATTTGAATAAAGAATATTTCTATTTCACACCTTAAACCTGCTACCAATACTGAATTTGCGAGCTACACAGAAATAAGTCCTATTGATGAATTATTTTATAATTAGTTTTACTGTAATTTATTTTATATTAAGTTTCTATCCGTGAAAACCTATAAGTGGCCGTTCTCATTTAATTATGTTTGTAAATAGCCTTGGTTTTCCGAAAATAAATAAACAAATTAGACCATAATTGAATACTATTGTAGAATATTTATGAAATTAATAAATGATGAGTTTTTGAAGGTTTCGTCTAGAGTAAGTAATGCATATAAAGATATTGTCTCATAGAAGTATATTTCTATTGCTCATCAAATCTTGTATAATTTTTGCTGTTCGGTAGACTGTATAGGTATACACAAAATTTTACTTGTGGTATAGCTATTTTTTGAAGAGCACCTAGTGTCTTGGTTATATCTAAAACTAGAATGTGGCGGTAGAGTCAGGAAACAGTCTACTCAAAATCAAAGCCATGCAGTTATTGTTATGAAATAAAAAGATTCAATAGAATTTGTGCTTTTTTGTCCGTTTAAAAACTTATGGGAGTAAATTTGAAATGTTCTTAATTTTTTCATTACTAGATGTCGCTATTGTATAAAAGGTAAATAAAAAAACAGGTTGTTCAATTATAATTAATATATTAAAGCTAACATAACAAATACATAGAAGAAAAACAATATTTATTCTTATACTACATACTATAACAATTACATACATAACTATAAAAGTATATAACTATATTACAATACATAAGTTTAGAGAAAAAAATTTGAACGATTGCACCAAATATTCAATACTACCTCCTAAGTCTGGCAAGTGACAATTTAATCTAATAACATTAAAATGAAGTCAAGTTTTTCAGAATTCTGTGAATGTGAGAATATTTTCTATTTACATGCATACTCAGGGGATGTTATGATATTCCGGCGCATGCTTCTTGACAATCATAAATACAAAACAGGTTGTTTACTGTTATATTTCTGTACGGTACAGTATAGTTATTTTATACAAACAATATTAGCGCGATACGGCACCCATTATTTCTTCTGACAATGTGCTGCCGGGTTTACTCGGCATAGAAAAGGTACCATAAAAAACATGTTAATAAATAGGTATATAAGAGGTAGACATGCGGACTGAATCATCCGTTATAATAAATAATAAAAAAGGTATTCACAAGGAAGTCAAATAATTTTCAAAAGCAAACATATTTGTTATTACTCAATGATTTGAAGTTGAAGTAGAACCTTAACACATAAATATTTTCATTGAACTTTAATTTCGTTTACTTTTTAATATTCAAATAGAATAATGCATATTTAAATAATAACTTCATTATTAAAATAGTTAAACGGGTTTTAAAAGGAACAAATTTATGATAAATAAAGTTACCTCTCGACGTTTAAAACCCGTTTAACAATATTAATAAAGTGTATTAAACGGCATAGTTTAAAAATAAGTAATAACTTTATGTTTGAATATTTTCCTTCAACTTACTTTTACTCAAATAATACAGACGTTATTAGATGTAAGGTGTTCACTCTCTAAATGACTTTCAATGTATTCGTTGGCAGCGTGAGTACTTGTGACTTAATCGCTACTTTCATATGAAAGTTGGGACAAGTCACGTTATAACGACTATAAAGTTTTCACAATTTAATTTCGAATAAATTAAATACGTACCAATACATCGGAACGATATATAGTACATAGATTACATTTGTCAATTTATATATTTGTCAATTATTGTACTGTCTTCATAAGTAAGAGTACAGTTTTGTCAGAATTAACCTCTTTTGTTGTGCATATATAACACACATTTTTGTTACTGACATTACAATATATTGTTTCATGTTGTATAAAAATGTCTAACATGTTTCAAATGACATAAATATTGAATATAAATTTAGTTATATCTCCGCTACACATTTATAATTTCAATTTCAATTTAATTTCAAATGAGGTGTGCATACATTATGGACTTAAGACATTAGTACGCAGACACTGTCTAAGAAATATATCATGCTATATTTTATATCGATTAAAGAAAAAGACGTAGCACATTATCAAATATATAAAGCTATATCAAACAAGCACCAAAGCTATATCAACTTATAATAATTTCTATTAATTTTTAAAATAGCCTTTGTAGCTTAGAAATTATATAAAACTTTAATATCACCCAATTATTTGATAATGTAATAACCCTTTTTCAACTGAACTTAATTGAAAATATTGAAATTATAAAGTCGATGACAGATGGTATATTTATACAGACTATGAGTCACACTAAACTTTAACGTACTAGTATTAAGATTCAAAATGGCCTCTGTCAATAAGACGTACCGAAAACTAAGTACCTATATAGTCATAACAGGATATAGTGATAAATATATATACATAAAATTATTTTGAATGAACGACTGTAATCCGAATACGTCTATCTTTATAGCCGCACAAAACCCCATCAATAAAAACGAGCGACTTTCCTTATGAAAACAGTATTCTATTTGTTAAATATTGACATAATAAAGTTTGCGTCACCATTCATATCACCATGATATTTGCGCAATAGAGAGTATCCTATAAGACATTTACAAATTCTACGTACCATAGACAATTTTACGTGACAAAAACTCTATTATATTAAACACGTTTGAAATATACGTAGATTGAAAATGCGTTATTATGGAGTATCTTTATCGCTCAATAAATATTGTAGTGAACGGAAATTTTGAGTCTTAAATGCGTAATTAGTACATCTTTTACAATAAATATTAATAAAAACATCAAACTTTACAAACTCATTTTAATTATTGACCTTTTTGTCCACTTTAATAGTTAAAATAAGTTTGTAGTTTTTATAAGTGTACAACTGTGTAACGTCATTAAATAGGCATGGCAATATTGATACGTCAGACGAGAGGTGCGGTGTAACGCGGGCGGGCGCACTGAATGTTGCCAGATTTCGCAGCTCAAAAAGGAACAAAGTTCGGATTTCAAGTAAAAAAGTGGCAACATTCCTTTGAGTTTTTGTACATATAGATTATAAGCGTGGCACACATAATATAGGAAATAAAATATACCACGGTAAATGGAAGACTGCATACGTCTGCCATTATTATTATTTTCATGAAATTACTTCGTTTTCCTGTCAACATTCTAATATTAATATATACGCGTTGACGTCATTGCCGTGTTACCCGAACTGGTCAGTGACATTCGAGTTTTTTATCAATAAATATATATATACTCGTAACTGACCTTCGTTATCGGAGTACAACAGTTTATCATATTAATGTAACATTTATACATATATAATGAGTTGTTCAGCTGCATAATTTATATTTTATACATTATCGACCCAACTTAACAAAACAATAGTTCGCTTGTGGCTTATTGCGTGTTCGGTTTGTTGTTAATTAAATAATAATTACTTCCTTCTCTATGACAAGTTGTATAGGATTATACTGACAGAATACGACCAACCTGAAACTTAGTAATAGTTCCATGAAACTGAAGAATATTCACCAAGAAATAAAACCATACAACAATTTTTTTTTCATTCAGATAGCATTACCTCTATCCCATTGTATGGGGTTGGCGCAGTATGTCATCTTACGCTGGTACCTATCAACCGTCATATCTGAGTTTACTCTCGTTCTATGCATATCATCTTTCACACAGTCCCATCAAATTTACGAGTGTATCAAATATACATAAATATTTTTTTAAATTTCGACTATATTTCTCGGTGATTACAGTTCAATTTCGTAAATACTAGGTTTCATTCATGGCTGCATACTCTTTCTGATTGACGTTGTATACGATATACTAAACTTGTCGATCTTATCAAAGGGAACACAATAAGACCATATTCATCAACCTATCACTCGCATTTCAGTACAACCAGTCACACTATACGTGTATATTACAAAAAAAAAAAAACTAATCCATTCAACCCAATTTAGTTCACTAGTTGATTTACTATACACACAACTATAATTACGGTTCCGTATTGGCTGTAGACAATAATCCTAAGGATGAGGTGACGGAACGGGATCGACTGTGTCGACGGGTGCTTCTAGTCGATGGTTCACAGTCTATGGTCTACTGTGGGTGTCCTTTTGTAGAGTTGATCAGGCAACGTTGATGGGGTTGAAGCTATCCCGTAGCCTGTCGAAAAGACTCTCGTTGTCGCTGTCATACATCTGAAAATAAGAAGAAATTAAAATAAATTAGTATTTTATGTTTCTTGCGTTTATAATACACAAACATATAGAATGAACATATTAATTAATATTTATATATATTTGTATTTAAACAGATATTTTTTGAGACAATTCACATAACGTCTTCTAATCACAAACTAAGCAAAGCTTGTGTTATAGGTACTAGGCAACTGATATAAATCATAGATATGTATTTCTTTTAAATACATACATATTACACATAGAAAATATATAGGCCGATACAAACAATCCTACTTATGATTTCAAACATTTGTACCGCGCGCAAACCCGCGACTATCGGAAGTAAGACGGCATGCTAAATCGCTGGACTATCGAGCCTCGCCTCGGTATACATTTAAAACTAGCATACATCACGCGTCATCGTCTGTTTAAAATAAAATACTACTACGTAAATATAGGTCTTCATGATCGATCTACACGGCAAATTTAATTACGATAAGTTCAGTCATTTAGTCGTAAAGTAACAAACAGACCAGAGAAACATTTTATAATATTAGTGTAGACTATGATTACCGATCAGTTAAGATAGAATTCGTCAAACCGACAGTTAGTTATAAAGTATGAATCAAAGTTTCCTGCTATATGCAACATGGGGTTTTTCAAGGCTACAGTGAGTAGGCAATATTTGAGTTGGCGTGGAAGATTTTAGACCGACATATCAACTAGATATGTTGTGGTAAAAATCTAATATAAGAAATATATATAACTTATGATTATCACACGTCTTTGACTTCAAAATCTGTTGCTAAATAATTGTTTTACATTAAAATGTATCAGTTTAATTTTTATGTAATTAGAATAATAAAAATAAATAAATGAATAACCCTGGACAATTAATAGAGTACCATCTAGCCCCACGGTAAGCAGAGCTGCTGTTATGGATACTAGATAACTGATATAAATATGTACTTAGATATTTTTTTTGTAAATACATACATAATATACATAGAAAACACCCAGACCGATACAAATAATTATACTCATGAATACAAACGTGTACACCGGGCGAGGAATCGAACCCACGACTATCGGAAGTAAAGCGGTGTGCTAAACCGCTAGACCACAGAGGCCGTCAAGAATAGGTAGAAAATACCGTTAGATCCGCGATATGTACTTTTAACTTGGTATTTTGTACATTTAAGTTATATAAATATACCAGGAGACCCGGCCACGCGTTGCTGAGACTAACGGTTTCTTTATATATAAAAATAATATTGCAACTATAAATTGAGATGTAAGCTATCCTATCTTTCAAGTTGGATCAAATTGCACAAAATGTGCAACTCAAATTTGCAATCAGTTCAGTAGTTTAGGAGTCTATCGCGGACAAACAATGTGACACATAATTTTTATATTATAAATAAATAAAATAAAAGATGGAAAATGATTCCATAATTTGAATGTCATTGAGACATATAACTGCTCGGTGTGTTTTTTCTTCTAGCACATTAACTTTTTCTGTTCACCATGAATAAAAACTAAGCATTAAGTTATTATGTGATTTTAATATCTATAAAACACCTATCTGTAGTGTCAACGACCTATTTAAGGATATAAAATTGTTTTTACATGAAATATATATAAACGATTTTTAGTTAGTTATATTTGATCGCGATAAAGTAATATTACTAATACGGTAGGTTCCTGAGCCATAGTTCGTAATTAAGTGAATACCTACAGTGTAACATAAATAACTGTTTTGAAATAACAGAGATTGTTAATTGTAATTTGTTGCTTTCACGTAAGAAAAGTCATATATATATAAATCTTTACATTTATTTAAAAGAGCAAGACGTGAATTTCTATCGTCTTCTTCGTTCTTCTTGGCATTTGTGTTTCGAATGGGCGGTAGAATAAAATATGTGACTATTCAAAGGTTTATTGTATTAAATACTATTTCTATTGCATTCCTTAAAAATCCGTTTTTAAGAGAAACTTTAACAGACAAACTGTAATATATATCATCATCTGCTTCTTCCTTATCCCATTCAATTGTGGTCGACGTAATATGTTTTTCTTTTCCATTCATCCCTGTACGCAATCTTCTTGATTACTCCCTTTGTTGCTATATCATCCTTCACACAGTCCATCCATCTCTTATCAACCATCCACATTCCTGGACAATTCACACAACGCCATCTAGTTTCAAACTAGGCAGTGCTTGTGTTTTGTACTAGACAATTGAGATACAGAGATACTTTTTTTTTTGTATTTTCATAGAAAACCCCCAGACCGATACAAACAATCATACTGATGAATACAAATGTTTGTACTTTGCGAACCCGTAACAACTGGAAGTAGTGAGCTACATCACTAGACCAGCGTGGCCTTCATTTAATATAAAGATAGAATAAGTAAGGATTAATAATTTACAATCGTTGTAGTAGGTAAAACCGTTACTGCGCAGTTGCGTGCCATATATTTTATATACGGGTATTACAATAGCAGCTTTGATAATCAGTACAAGTTATATTATTATCGATCAAAACATGGGCTGGCAACGGCAGAAAATATAATAGTCAAAAAATGTACATAAAAAAATAATAATAATGGTCTGTCACCAACCATAGGAATATAGCAAGTTACAAAGTGATTTTTAGGCGCCTTCCTGATTGGTCGCTTTGTTTCCGTACAGAGAAGGGAGTATACGCTAGCTAAAGAATTTATATATATTCCGTAATAATATAAACCAATGACTATGAGAAGTAAGCTGGTATGCTAAACAGTAAGAACCCCGAGACCGTCAAATAAAATAAAGTACAGAAGTTACATTGTTCCTGGTTGATTTTTATTTCAATAAGAAGAATAAGAATATTTCAATTTGGAATTCTCGTTGACATATTTATGCATGCATATAAATACAATATGACACGCTTACACAAGTTACATTGTGTCTGGTTGCTTTTATTAAGGATATTTAAATTTGGAATTTCAGATGACATTCTTTTGACGTTGAATGAGTCGATTAACCAAGAAAGACAAGTCAAACACAAATTAAATAAAATATGACACGCTTGGACAAGTATAGGATATTGCTGGTTAATTTATAATAAGGATATTTGAATTTGAAATTGATGGCACTGTTTATAACGTTCAATGAGTTGATTAACTAACAAGAAAGACACGTCAAACACAAATTAAACACAATATGACACGCGTGGACAAGTGTGGCATATAAGAACAACTAACGTCATTTGCGGCGGGACATATAATCTGCAGGACACAACAGCTGCCAGTGATATGAATACAAATTACAGTTTTCTATATTTAGATATGTGGAATGTTAGAAACTTTCATTGAAAATCCGCGTAATGACGTGTGTGAACTTTACGTGAATGAAGACTTGAGTCGACGGTTGGGAACTTAGCGGATTTGCATGTTATGTTGTGTACAGACAATTTCAAAAATAAGTCACAGAGGCTGCACTGTACTATGTAGCTTTCTTAAAACTTACAAATATATCTTAGTAACATTTAAGGAATAATATACTTCTAAACTATTTAACTGATTACCTTCATCCGTAACTATAGAAAGTGGAATAATTTGTGAATAGCTATTTGTTACCTAGCACACCGCTTTACATCCGATGTTCGCAGGTTCCTCGCACGGTGTATACATTTGTGTTCATGAGTATGATTATTTGTATCGATCTGGGTGTTTTCAATGTACATTATGTATGAAAAATATATATTAATGTATTCAGTTGTGTAGTAATACACCCATAACACAAGCTGTGACGCGCGTTTGAACGTAAAAAGGGAGATATATAAAAAATACAGTAAATAGTAAAGTAATAACAAAAGGCAGTCTTATCGCTATAAGCAATTAAAGATACACGTGTACTCACATCATCATCGTCATCCGTGTCCGAGTCGGAGTCGTCTGAGGGGTGCGTGAACACCCTGGCCGCGGGGGTGCGGCGCGCGAGCCGGCGGGGGGTGCGGCCCGCGAAGTCGCGCGCACTCCGCGCCACTCCCGCGCACTGCTCCAGTAAGTACTGCGCCATCCGTGCATCCCCTCGCCGCGCCGCTATATGCAGCGGCGTCCATCCTGCCAGTCCCTCCTGTAGGGGGAAGGGTATTGTTAGTAATGTGGTGTGTGACTAATAACACTTCATTGCTACCAATGTATTATGTTAGGTTGACCTCCACGTGGTCCCCCCTGGAAACTATCGTGATTAATTCATGGTGCATTTAGCACGATGGGCTAATTAACCTGACGTCATACTCATCATATCCTCCACTAGCGTATACCGTTAGCGCAGGCGGGTGCACCATTTTATTATCATTAATTAAGGAGTCCCGCCTGTAATTAATTCCTTCGATAAGCTTTTTTTTCGGACTACTCTAATGCTGTTGGCCGCAGCTGGCCTTGACATCTTCACAGGACTATAGGCGGCACTTTAAACCCGCGAAAGAACATATGGAGCAGCTGAAGAACAGCTCTCGTCTGATGCATACGACTTTAGTCTGAAAGCACCTTAGCTAGGGGTTCGAGCCTTTATTTTTATCTATTTGTGCAAATAAATCTACGGGATTGTATTTTCTATAAGAGGAACAATAAAGAGTTTTCATTTTTTTTTAATTCTGTAAATCATTTCGTATTACAGCCGATATCTTGTATTTTCTTCTAGAGAAAATCCAATATATATACGTAAACAGTATACACACGGATTGCAGAACTGGTAACGTTCCAATTGCGGAGGTTATACCAAGAACAAAAAACCCATTCGATATCTTATCAGCTGATTAGGACAACAGTGGGATTTCCATTTCATTTATGACTGCGGTAATCGCGTCGGCCATGTTAATGTGGCAATTACTTAAGAGGTCATCCGTGCTAAGAACTGGGACGTTACATTATTAGGACTTAAATTTTGTTGTTTTTTATTATTACAATTGCAACGTAAGATCTTAAACAGAAAATGTAAGAACAGTGTAATATAAAAAACCGAGTGGTAAAAATAGAAATATAATAGGTTATAGAAATAAGGATGTTTATTTCGTGCCATAAAGAAAACTGATGTATAGACTAACGGGAGCAAAACTTAACTAGCTAAAACAATCATTACAATCCCGTCGAGTTTGAACTAACATGAAAATCTATTGCCGTAAGTCTGTACTGAAGTGTCAAATCTATTGATATACATATATAACGAGAAATTAAACACAGCAGAATTAAAACAAAATATACAATAAAAAAACTGACTCGAAAGTACTATAAATAATAAAACTTCCTTTTCTAAAAGTCAGTTAAAACCAACGTATGGTTGTTATTATATAATTACAGTTATAAACGTACTACGTAAACATACTTTTTTTATTTATAATACACATACATGTGTATGGTATTGTATGTGACAGTAACCATACACACAACATTAGAGTCAGTGAATAGATCTGCTAACAATGTCGTATACAAGATCATAATAACAAACCGCAAGACTTGACACATTGTAAGGCCATTGTTACGTAGGGATGTCTCTTGAGGATTATCTATCTCTACATAGTATAAGTAATATTCGTCTCTCCGTTTGTCTTCTTACTTCTAAACTATATATAGGACTTGAACACACGATCTCTTGGAACGTAAGGGTTTACTACCCTTCCTAGAACTACGATTCTTCACTTCCAAAATTAAAGTCGGCTAAAAACTAGTCTTAAAATGAAGTTATTTCTCTATGTACTCAAATATAGCGACATTTTTGTATATACTTCGCTATCTTGTAAAAATATTTGTTTTCGTAACTTTTTGTATAAAAGAATGACTTGGATTTGCCTACGTTTTTATGGGCTTCAAATAATCATAATTTAAATAATTAAACTTATACTTATTTTAATAATTATATTTTTATTCTTTCAACTTACAATTTACTTCTAAAACATTGTATTAGTACGTATAATTCATTGAAATTGATTTGTAAGAGTATTGATCATATAATGGCATAACGAGTCTTCAATGCCATCCAGTCATCGAGTCAGGAAATTCTAAGAAAACTCTATACTATTTCTAGAATCGATGATGTTCATACAATCATGTGACGGATTTACGTTGTCCAACAATGTCGGGCCAACAAATTACGTCACACACTAAGGGGGAGAGAGGGGGTTTCGTGACTGTGTGACATAGTGTGACAACGGATGGGAGGGGTCCTAAATTTCCCGACGTCATAATTCACAATCTATTATAACTGTTAGAACACGCTTTTTTAATTTATTATGTTTTAGGTGTAAAATTGTAAAATGTTACGTCACACTAGAGGTTTCACAAATGCGACAAGAGGGGTCGAAAAATCATGAACTTCTTATGACGTTATTTTAATTAAATGACCAATTGATTACATTGTCACGTCAGTTCTTGACAAACAAGTCCAACCAACAATACAAATTTCACGATTTCGCGGACATGTTATTTCAGTTGCTATGTACCTAGCATTTGAAAATAGTCTACGACACAGGTCGTTTTATTTAAACACTGATGAGTGAGCAAGCTATTATGAACAAACTGTAAAAATTTACACCTTACTCCCCAACATTCAGACTTCGATCTCTTTTCTTATGTCGATATAATCCAATATAAGCTTCGGAGTTCAATGTTTAAAATAACTGGAGATCTCGTGATCAGTTTTTCATACCGTGAGTATACACAATTCATACCTATCAACTGCCAAAATTACCATTATAATCTCCACGCAAGATATTAAATGAACTCTAAAGCTTTTACAGTAAAAACTATTTTTGTGTGAAATTCCTCACAGTTATTTTTAACCTTGTGCTGTTACTATTGGCGTGCGATTTAAATTAGATTCTTTATTCATTAATTCATTTTCACGCTGACCTCTATCTACTACATAAGATAAACTATATCTATGTACAAAGTACCAGATTTGTTTAGTAACTGTTTGAAAATTATCTATTTTAGGGTTAGCTACACGAAAAACCAGTATTATCCCTATTAAATCTTCGAGAAATAGAGTCCGCCACATTATTGTACCTAATACTTTTAGGGTAGGAGATCAGCCCTTGCTGAGGTTATCCTAAAATGGGGTATTCAATGTTTTAAGGGCTTATGAGGATCTTAAATAAATAGGCTTAACTGTTAAAAGGTAGGAAATGGTATTCTTGGTGTTCATAAGATGCGGGAATCGCAAAAATACCATCAGGCGGGCCGTATTTGTATTGCAATGTCGGTGGTCTAAAAAGTACTTACTCTAACATTGATGTCTGCGCCGTAATAGACTAGTGTCTGTAGAGTCTTCACTTGTCCCAGCTTAGCTGCAACGTGCACGCATGTCTGACCTGAAACAGTTAGAAAACATTGTTATCGATTTTGAACCATAAATGCTAAATTAGTGGGACCTAGAGGAGAAAGGGGATTATTAGTAATATGGACTTATGACCTTATTGCTAGAAATGTACCATGTCAGGCTGACCTCTACGCGGTTCTTTGTCACGACGGGCTAACTGAGCTGACCTCACGCTCATCCTCTCATCTTCCACTCGTGCCCTGCTAGCGTAATCCGTTAGCTCAGGCGGGTGTACCATACCATTATCAATCATTGAAAAACTAGTGGGATCTACGGACAGACATGTCGACATGTTGACCTTCGCGGGATTCGACAATTCTACCATTCATTCAAAAATGCAGTTTCAGTACATGAAGAATAAGCTACAAACTTGTCTCTTCCTTACTCAAACAAATATTACAATTGTGAACTAACATTCAAGTGATCATAAATAAAATGAGTTTTTTTAATGTGTAATTAATAATGACATATTGCATTGTGGTTAACGTTCTAAAACCAAATTATCCTGTAAGCTAATATTATAAGGTGCATTAGTAACGAGCGGGTTTCTGACTGGTTTTCCACCTATACGATAAGTTTTCACAGGCGATTCCCTGAATGAGGCGTGATTAATTATAAGTTGAAACACAACTCATTTGAAAAGCCCAAGGAAAACAACATTGAACTGTACTGCAAGTGGGTTTGTTTGGTTACTATCTTTAAGAATTGTTGAGGAGGGATTTTTTTTAAGCTATGCTTGGTTTTTTTATGTAATGGGAAATAAACAACCTGAGGGCCCACCATCATAAGCGGTGACCGTCGTCTATACACATAAAGAACGCTATGGACATCACGTTATCATGCCACATGTGATACACTCATGCGTTGCCATTCAGGAGGACATAGATGTTATGCCTTTATCTTGTAATTTCACTGTCTAATCTGCACCCTACAACCAAAACACAATTTACAAAGCAAACTACTCTACCTACTTCTTTTTCTGTGTTAGGGCTTTTAGTACGCCCAGATTTTGGTAATAGAAGATTTAAAATGTTTTCAGAAGAGCTATCTGCGAGTGAAAGTCCGGTTAAAATCGGTTTAACCGTTTCAGATATTAGCAATAACAAACCGACAGACAAAAATATTACATATTCATTTTTTGATGTAAGTACCGTAATTTCAAGTAAGTACTATACCATACTTTCCTATACATTTAATTAAAACCTGTTTATTTGATATTACAAAGACACTTCAATTTTATTTACAAAGATAGATATTTTATTTACTTGGTTGATTATCATATAATCTAATTAAAAAACTATATCAAAAATTAGTATGATAAAGTTAAACATTTCGTACAATCTCGTGTATAGAATCGAGAAACACGGAAATTCCAAAGGAGGTATTTTGTTGTGGGTTTACCCCTTTAGCGCAGGTGAGTCGCAAGAAGACATAAAAGGTCGAGGTTCTATGTTCAAGAAAAAACCCGATAATTTACATGTAGAGTAATTGCAGTGATTCTATTTAAATAGTGTAATTAACGAAAATGTGTTATTAAAACTTAAAAATAGGGTTGAATTTTCAATAGATTGCTGTGTGCTACTTTATTCCTAATTGTAAATTTTCTAGACAACATTCGTATTACAACTACTATAGGTTTGACGGATCAGACATAGTTGTTAAAATAAGGGATTCAGGATAATTTGTCTTATTGCTAAACGAGTAGGAAACATTTTTATGATGATCTAATTAATCTGTCCAGATCTAAAATATATAAATCCTTTAAATAAAGGATTCCTAAAACTGACATCACGTAAAAAAAATAGAAAAAGGTCGATCTATAGATGACGTAACCTTTAATTCTGAGGCTTAATCGTCATTAAAAAGTCAACGATTAGTAGCAAACTACCTATTTTATTTGTTTAAAACCTTGTCGAATTATTATCTCATTTAAAATTCTCGCCCGCTTCAAAAACTAGTTGGTCATAAAAATGTGATGTCACTTCAACGGCCCCAAGTATTGAGCAGAAAATTTTTATATTAGAATTTTTTTACATTTGAATCTCAGATTCGCAAATAATAATTTAAGCGTTAAATGATCACTAAAAATACAAATTTTAAAAGCCTTAGAACATTTTTCTCAAATACAGGCTGTATAGTTTCGGCACCTTTACTTGTCTTCCTTCTAATAAACAAAAAGTACTATTTCTCAAAATTCGAAACTAAGCGCCAAAATTATATACTAGATATATTGGAGATTGTAAAGAATAGTTAAGACGTAACGATAATAAATATTGTGCTTAAATAGGCTTGTTATCGACAATCGACTCACGCATGTGTAAATAAGTAAACAAGTGTACACTTTGTAAATATTTTTAAGGAATACGGAAAAACATGATGTAAATTCTATTAAATGTTAAGAGTTCGCTCTACTGTCTACGTACCTACTTGTATTGTTTACAATAAATATAAAAAAAACAGACGAGCTAACGCTATTTCTTTCTCTCTTTTTATTTATTATTGAGGATCCAACAAGAAAAAGATCTACTAATGATTTGGGATTATTATAGTGTTTGCAAAAATAAAGTAGTCGATATCCTGTTTCTAAATGTGAAGCGATTATATAGGGTATGTTTTTAAAAAGCAAGATCATCACCAGATATGTAACCTATCTTTAAAAAATTATGTATTTACTGTGTCTGTATTGTACCAAAGTTTTCAATTAATCATTTATTAAAAGTTTATATGTCTAAGATTTATATACAGTTTACGCGGGACTTGAAAATCATGGACGTATTTTCCGCGAAAAAATATAAAATGTTTACAGAGAAAATTCATGAATGTTTCCGAGACGTGAGGTATACAGGCTATCCCCACTTCAGGGATGGCATCGGTACTAGATTTTTGGCTTTGATACGAAGACATTTACATCCCCAGTACGAGATTTTGACCTATGAAAATTGGTCAAAATACGATAATGTGCGAGGTTAGAAAACCAAATTAAGACGATATGAGATTTCATGAGATTTTTCAGTGCTTTGTACGACGCTAAATATTTTTAAAGTTGGTAACCCTGCCCCGCTCGCTACCTCCGCTGGACCACCTCCAAGTTTATTTAAAAGCGAGCGAAAATAAACCGCCCAAACGAAAACAGCTAAGCATTATATTCTGGTAGGTATTTGGGTTAAACGTATACTTTGAAAATGTTATTTGTCGAACGCCGTGACGTCTAAGGTCGAACTAGTTCCGGATGTCTTACGGTGTCACATGTTTTTACGTGAGCACTTTTTATACAATAAATATAATAGAAAATACCGCATTTATATGGGTTCACCGCTGTGGTTGATTACGTTATTTTAACGTCATGTTTAGGTGGCTTTCAATTACGTAAGTAATTCTACAATAAGGTAGATACTTATTTGTGCGAAGATTCGCATTTACATAATAATAAATTAGAATTTACTACAAAATTTTGTATGTGAAAATTATAAAGATATCTTCTCGACATGAGTCGAACTGCCACTTATTCTATGACGCTGCTGAGAGTCATAGTTAATTACTAAAATGTACAGCAGCAAAGTGTTCTTCTGAATTCATCGGTAAAATCTAAATGGCACATAAAAAACCCTAAAACCACATAAAATCTAAATTCAGGAAAACAAAAGGAAATAACAACCTAATAGAACTGGCAACATATATTATGACGTATTACAAATAAGCAAATATCAGTAGGTACTGTATTCTAGGGAGTGTTCATGAGGATATATATATATTGTAGGATATTCCAATGAATAGATACATTACAGAGTTATGACTACTTATGACGCATGAGGTCTGTATAGCACAGATTAGAGATTCCGTTTGCTGACTGGCGGTTGTCAAAACTTTTAAACAATTAGTAGGTACTAGTAAATTTGTCGTGAACACCAAGCAAATAAAATAGGACGGTCAAACACGCACCTTTGTGACGCTTTTGTATACGTAAGTATACATTACAAATTAACTAATATTACGTAACAAAAGTATACTAGACTTAGTATATCTTTTAAACTACGCAACGGATTTTGATGCAGTTTTCAGCAATAGATAGAGTGATTTCACGGGAAAGTTTGTATGTATAGTATATGCGTGTTATAGTATTTAAGAAGACGAGAAAATCAAAGATTTTTAATGCGAAGCCGGGATGGGTCGTTGGTACTAGATAAAGTGTAAGAATACTGTATATATAAAGTTGTCTTTTAAAAGAAATTCAATAAATGTAGCGAAATTATTATTAGTACACAGCGTAACATTTGAAACTCCTAATTAATCAACTGCGATAACATATTACATTTAACTGCCCATGTTAATTTTCACAACAAACGTACTGCGGTAACATTCCACTCAAGTCATCGATTTACAAATTATACTTATGTACATCTTTAATTCATTCTAATCACTTAGCCACGGCATGCGGCGTTATACAACAAACAGCGACGTGGCTTTGCTCATTGAAATGTAGGTAGGCATCGCAGTGCCATAGTATATAGTAACGGGCACAAAACATTAATTAAGCTAGCAATAGATGAGAGTAAACAGGTAATTGTGTGTGTAAACTGTAGTATCGTAGTAGTACACGTGTGTGCGTCGCGTAGTGGCGACATGAGGGTCGCACGCGCAGGCCCGCAGGCCGCCACTGGCCGGGCCGAGCCGGGCGAGGCGCGGCGGGGAGGGGATGGGGTTTTCCCAACAATGTGGACCGGTGACTGCGTCTCGGCACTGAGCCATGAGCGCTGTCCTCGCCAAATATGGTTGGCAACGTCGCATTTTCTCGCATAATCCTTTACGAGGATGTGTCATTTTTAATGGAGTTTATTTCCATGATAGATCAAGTAAATATCGCTAATTATTCGATGACAGCGCCCGCATAGGTACCTACTTCTCATTTTTATAAATACTCATTCACTTACATAGGTACTTGTGATTTCATAAATTATATAAATTCGTGTCAGTTAAGTAAATCACACCTATTAATAAAGCATTTGTATTTCCCATCATCTGGTTAGTTATAACAATGTAGTCGTTTTAAAAAACAAGAAATGATGAGTCAACCTTCTAAGTACATGTCAAAGGATGTATTAATGAGGATAACAAAATGTCCATAAAATACTGAACGAATGATGTGCAAAATGTTCTTAAGAAGCAACATAGTTGTAACTGGGAAAATACGTAATCCTTGCTTTATAAATTTATATTTTTCATAATAAAAGAAAGTATGTATTAGATATGACAATATGATAACAAAGTTTAGTCACAGTATGAATTTTAATTCAATACACCTAAACATTTAAAATTGATATATATTCTTGCATTTGTATATAGTATTCTTGTTTTAAAAGCAAATAAACTTAATATCGTATTATTAGCATTTGTAAAATGACATTTCGACCTGTGATTTTATTGGATTGAATTTAAAGTGGGTTTACAGAAAACGTCGTCAGCGATCTCAAATTATGAGAAACCGATAAATTGTCAATAACAATTTTTATTTTTATTCAGATTCTTCGGTTGCTATACAAGAACATTTAAAATAAGTTACAACGATCGATGTATACCAGCAAATATTTGACGGTAGCACGTACGTCCATACACAACACGTTCAAATCTGTGCTAATGTGTTGAGAATGGAACACACCTAGTTAGTCGACGATCGGAAACTTCCACCATTATAAATATAATAAAATCGTAAACGACCCGTTTCTGTTCATGAAACAAAGTTACGTTTACGTTACTGAGGTAAATAAATTCTCAAATGTTTTCTCTGTGCGTATCTGTACAATGTAACTGTATTCTTTGAAACGCTTAGGTGATTTGAATTATTGTCACTAAAGTATTGTAGTAAGCATTCCGTAATATTCACTGTTCATTTAATTTTAATCGGTTCACAAATAAAAGTTATATTCTATTGTTATTGCGGATACCACGTGACGCTACACGTGGTATACACATTCGTAAAGGTAAAGCTAGTTTTCCATAAAAAGCCAATAATGCTATCGATTTTAGATAGCTTTATTCTCTACGATAGATGTTACATAGGCCACAGATGAATCCATTTTACTAGATACGCTGGTTTGTTGAATTTCAATTAGCTTCCGGTAATCGCAAAAACCTGAACACCTTGGAACGCTGACTACATTTGAGCAATTTCAACTGGTTAACTAGATATGGTAAAATTGCTTTGAATCAATTTCAATGTAGACAATGCTGAATAAATGAAACGTTAATTCATAGTACAACAATGGATGTGAAAAATATTGACAAAGTGTTAAGTACACATTCAACACAAATTACCGTTGAAGGTTTAGAACCAAACTAGATTTTGAACTTGACAAAGTCACGAATAAGAATTTTAGAATACTCAAGGAAAACAGAATTAAATTTATCACTGCGAAAACCTGAAATTGGGACTATTTAACAGAATAGACCAGTGGGAGTTCAATACTCTAATAGATTAAACCGATAACAAGCGTGCCCATTCTAATGGGAAATACCAATAATCTAGTGCGTAATGTAATGTGCAGAGACGCAAACTTTCACGCGGGGATACCCAAAATAAACACATTGTTTCTGTTATAGCACTTCTAGGTACTATGGTTTTTACGAGAGTTTAAAAATATTGCGGTTTTCCTGACATGCCTGTTTGTTCTGTGGCATTGCATAGGCAATGTTTACGAAACCAGGCCACGAGATGTCCGACGGCGATGAGTTGGAAGTAATGGTATAACATATACGCTAATGAATTCTATCTAGCCTGGCATAAAAAACCAAACTGTCGATTAGAGTGAACGACCACTGATATAAAGTGAAAGTGTAAAAAAAAAGATATATCAGCTATTCAAAGATTGTAGATAGGACATCACAAAAAAAGCAACATCAAGAGTTTAGAAAAAATGCTAACAGTATATGTTATGATTTACAAATTAGCTAGCCCTTTTCGAAGAAGTAAATGGAAAAGTGAGTATTATATATTAATTTAGTTCATAGCATCATCGCTGTGGCAGAATTGGTACGTTCGAAATATGCGAAATGAAGAAGGGAAACCCATCTCATTAGCATATAGACGTAACAACTTCAATTAATGTCGGAACAACGGTGGGATAACCCAAACGATGCTTTCACTCCGAGAATGGCGGTCTGTTGTTACGCGAACGGACTGCAATAAATACGCTGGAAATACCCAATGGGTCGGCTGTGTCAGTGGCGTTCAGGTGATCGGCCCGAAAAAGTTATTTGGAATTTAAAGTGACCGTTTACTTAGCAGAAATTCAAAGAAAGAAATTACTTGTTTTATAGAATGTTCGATTACTAGGAAACTAAAATATGTTGCGTTTTTAAAATGCCAAGGGTATTATGACATTAACGGGCTATCTCCAAAAGCTAATAACCTAACTGCAAATACGTTAATCTTCAAATAAATACGTGTGACAATGTCTACGTATAACACGACATGATCACAAGTGTAGCATTGAATAACATTTTGGAAAAACCAGAGATAATGTGTAAATGACTATTTCTACCGAGACTAACGCCTTATATTACAAGTGGAAATTCCAATGGCTCGTATACATACGTTGTAACGTTTTGCGCATTTCATTGATCTAAGGGAGACTAAACATACAAATGAACGGACTAGATACTTTGAAGGACGTCGAGAGGTGCGGTGCGTTCACACGTAAACAATGCTAGTACAGTGAGGCTAGATAATAACCAGGTATAATGAATCAATTGAATTGAAGACGGATACTACAGATAGTATACGGATCCTCGATACAGGTTATAGGCACGTGATAGCGTGAGTTGAAGAGTGGCGGGCCGGTTCATATCCGGATTGCTAGATCCTTAGAGGACAATGCCATCGTTGAAGGAAAACAGCTATAGTATGTCGACTCAATGGGTTAAGCAATACATTATCCTGCACTACACATTTTTAAGATGATTTTAAATAACATTATTTGACAAGAAATCTATTCATACAAACATTTAAATTCTTCATATCAGTAGATTCCTATGTGTATATGACGACATATTTCGCACCTGTTTACAAGTTACACATGACTGTAAAACAACAAACAGGTTATGTTAATAATTATTTAAATCATTATGAAGTCATTGTAATAAATATATACGATAGGGCGCAAGTCTATTAACATGAAGGAATTATAATTATATAATGTTAGAAAATTGACCAGCAATTATTGTCTGTCAAACAACTTTTTGTAATTGAGATAATCTCGGGAATCTCCAGAGATATATTCGTAACAGTATGAACATTATTCTTCAAAAAAATAATAAGTTTGGAACATGATTATGTAAAACAGCGACGAATAGGAGTCAATCAACGTATAATTTATACTCGTTAAAATTAAATAAGTTTCTTAGTCATAACTCATAACGTATCCAAAGCCTAGAATATATAACGGCACAATCTTATAGCAAATAAAACAACCCAAAACAATACAGGACAATAATACAAGAGAAATACAAAAAATCACGGTGTCCAAGTGCAACTAACATAGTTTGCAACGGAAGTAAATTTTTTATTGTAAATTTTGTGATGTGCAGTTATTTAGGAAATTCCTTATGAATTAGTATAATGAATATCATCTACGAGATCTGAGTATGCAGTTATAAATAATATATTTCGCAGAGTTAAATTATGAATCATCTCGGGTCAATTTAGCATGGGTTCACAAACTATTAGAGATCAGTTTCCTAACCATTTAGACTTATCTGTTTTAGGTATTAGTAATTGTTAGTTACCAGCTTTTGCATGTTTTACCTACTACATATTTTTATCCAGTTAGTTCTAAATACTGAGGATTCTCAATATCAGGTGCGAGGAACATGACAAATATTTTTATTATTTTTGTGTCTGCCTTTTTACGTAATTTTAGTGAGGTTTCAGAGACAATAATAAGCGGTAAAATAAAGGTACCTAAGAGGTATAGTTGGGAAAACCACTGTGGGTTTTTACATACTGATTCAATAACGCTTGGAGTACGAGTGCAATGAGTATTTCTCTTAATATTTTTATTATTCGGGAGCATTCGTTGAATGTATGCATAATATGCATTATTTATTACTTTATAATATTGAATTATGATTAATGTCTGCACTTAATCATAGTTAAATATACTGCGTCAGCGCTGAAATGATTTTTAAATAGAACGGATAAAATTTTTAATCTGGTAGTAGTACTTATTAGTACTAGATAATGATCGTTACCAGGATGTCGTTAGAGCAGACTGCGCACAAAGCGCAAATATACAGACGAAGAAAGATGTAAATAATAATCCAAACAATAAAGATCCAACTCCAAATAATAACAAAAAAGTTCTATACTATTCACAAAATACTATGACAAGTGAAATGGTCTGCGTGATAATAAGGCACTATGTTAAGATGAGAATCTTTTGCTTAAGTTGGTTTTAATATTATTTTAAAAACTAGGCATGCATCATCCGTCCACAGACATCTTGCGGATATTCAGAACCCGCAACAAACACACAAGAAGCATATCACAATAGTAAAAATAAAAAAATCAACTCACCATTATAATTTTTTTGATTTAATATTGTCGACATTTTTCTTGATGGGTGTTCTTTCACTGGTTGTAGGAGGGCTTTGAGGCACTCCAACTGGCCCGTTTCGGTGGCTATGTGTAGGGGAGTCTGGCCGCCCCGGTCCCTCGCTCCTAACGAGGCTCCTGCCAGCACTAGCATCCTCGTGACGACGGGGTACCCACTCATAACAGCTAGATGCAACGCCGTGTGTCCATAGTCATTTGTTAGGTCAAGCCATGACTTCTCTGGGCATAGTTTGATGAGTGTGCTAACTGATTTTTCGCAACCATGAACTGCGGCGACGTGTAGTGTTCTGCAAAATGAGAGACGCTCTGAATACTTGAATGGTAAACTAGCTGCTGACCAACAATATGTAGAATGGCAATCGTCGCCTATAAACACGAATAGCGCCATAGCCATCACATTGTCCTGTGATACTCTTTTCTTTTCTGCTATATTTTATATTATTATATTGCCTATATTGCCCCTAGTCTGTAATTTCTCTTTTTTTTTCGGACTACTCTAATGCTGTTGGTCGGAACTGGCCATTACAACTTCACCCGACGATAGAGGCGAGTGCACATGGCACTCCAAACGCTCGAAAGTGTTTAATGAGGCAATGCTAGGGGTTCGAACCACGGCTCAGGCCGTTGTAATTTCATTGCCATATATCACATTTTAACTACACAACTGCAGCATGCAATTCAGAAATAGTTGAGACAGATATACTAATACAGCTTCTTTAGTGAGTTAAAATTACAAGTTTTAACTAATACAGCTCTAAACTAAACAGGATAAGTCGCAATTTGTTTATAAATAACTATAGAGTTATATTATTATTTAATTAATTTGAATTTGCTACTAAAGATCATTAAATAAAGATGAAGGGCGATTTTCCAAATTAATTACAGATAGTTATATAAACAACATTTATTTATTATTAACATATTGGTAAAATATTTAGAACAATTCAGAAACCAACTATCAGAACATTTTTCTAATGCACATAACACCTGTATGTTCTCAAAAAATTGTTTATATATGTACATTAAACTTTTTGTATATATATATACATACAAACTTTTTCTTTTACTTCTTTTTCTAATATTCTAAAAAGATCTTACAAAAACAAAACAGAACAAAAATCACAAAGTAGCTATACACTAGCACTATTTTGAGAGTAGGAGTCAGCAGAGCAGACAAATTTTAACAACAGTTAAAATATTTGTGATTATAACTACCATAATAAATCATCAAAAACTCCAAACAATCCAGGGCATAAGTCTTTAATGGAATTCATAGATTAACTGATTGATAGACTGATCTTAATAGACTGACATCTGTTGGTGAAAAAGTTTAAAAAAAAGGTTTCATTATCGTTTAACCTAATGATCTGCTATAAAATTTTTACTCATAATATCGATAATAATGTTTCAAATGATTTTTCATCATTTGTCAACAGGCTATGTATATTTTAGAACCGATATTACCACTGAGCATAATAATACAAGCTGAGTATCTTGTCAGTTCTTCTCATCCCAAAATCATTCCAAACTGACAGTAGAATTGACATATCATAAGAGTCTGTAATAGACTTAAATGAATAAAGATATTTTGAATTTGAATTGTCATGATAAATACATTAAATAGCCAAGTTAGGACAACTAAATTTTTTTTATTAATTTATTTCCGTTTATAATGCTAGCAATGCCTATAATCTTGTACTACACTAAATAGCACATAATCAAGACAATAAAACAATTAAAGTTCCAGACATGTAATTGATAGCATGCCATGTTCACGTCATCAAATTAATGCAACTCGATTGCAAGCATTTTATATATGAGAATAAAATATAGTACAGATAAGAGTGATTTCATTCATTTTAAATTTGTCACAGATAATATCTATATTAAAATATCAATAGATATATTGATATTGAGATTATAGCCATAAGACTGATGACAGATGGAAAGAGAAAAGAAAAAAAAGGTAATATTTATGTAATATGTAAGTTAATGAGTAATGATTAATGTTCATTATAAAACTGAAATTATGCATTAAAATATATATATGGTATTTTATGAAGGCACATATTAACTAATTTAACATTTTAAGTTGCTCATATATTATTATTTATTACCTATTATTAACTAATAGATATAAATATATGGTATGAACATGTTTATTATTGTGATTGAATGTAAGGAAAAAGATCACAAACTCCCACTGCCTTTTCTGAGAAGCCCTCTTTGGGTAGGCACATTTGCTCTTATTAACCTACTATTACTATCTACTTGTACCAGCAGCTTCATCCGCATTAAATTTATAGCCTATGTGTTATTCTGAGACATAAGCTATATTACTGTGAAGTATCATCAAAATTCATTCAATAGTTTTTGTGGGAAATAGTAACAAACATTCATCCATACTTACAAACATCTGTGTTTATAATAGTTACTAAAAATTAGGGATTTAACACCGAAATATATACCTCCAATCAATTTACTGTTCAGAAACCATCATGGATAATTTCTGGAGAATGGGCTAACTGACCTGACTACAAGCTTGTCTTACCATCTTCTACTACTGCTATTTGAACAAACACTGTTAGGTGTATACTGTTTAGGTGGGTGCACCATAACATACCATTCATAAATAAAAAATCCTATCACATATGGGGACATAAAACATCCACAAGAATATTGTACTACCTGGTGGGTACTATAGACATCACACTGGTTTGTGTGATGTCAAATGTTTGTATCTTTTTTTAATAAGTGTTAATGGATTGGTCCTCCCCCTGAGGTAATGGTATATGCTGGTGGTGCATCAGTGTAGGATGATAATGTCAGGATGGTTAGCTTGTTGTGACAAATTCACCAGGAGGGGAGAAAGGGGATTGTTAGTAGTGTGGCCTGATGACTCCATTGCTAACAATGTTCCATGTCAGGTTGACCTCCACACGGTGCCCCATGGAAACCACCATGACAAATTCCTGGTGAATTTGTCTTGATGAGCTTACTGACCTGACCTCACACTCATCTTATCATCCTCCACTGCTCTCCCTGCCAGTGTAAACTGTTAGCATAGGCAGGTGAACCATTCCATCATCATCAATAAAAAAAAATCACCAGGAATTTATCAATGGTATTCACCATCCACCAACCTTGTCAAAGAATAATAAAAATGGCATTTAGTCACAATAATTTTTATGTTAATAAACCCAATGACAAACCAAACTCTCTGTAATAGGAATTTAAACATAACAACAAGGACATATTAATTAAATAGGCTGGAAAATGTTGAATGTTGTTGAAATTAAACCACTGGCGTTTCAAGCTTGGCAGATAGACAGTTTGCAGATTAAGTCATATATATATAGAATAGTAATTTACTAAAAAGAAAATATGCCAAAAAATACAATAAGTATCAATTGTTAAAAAGAATTGTAATAGCTTAATAGCTGAACTAACTGTATTCTCTATCAATGGCAACAATATTTAAAATGTTTAATGTAAATTAAGTGTAAAACAGACCAAATGAATGCAAGTTTGTACACTTTCACTTTCATACTGACATAGAAATTCACTTTTAAATTATTCCGTTCAGTCATTACAATCTTAAAAATGGTGGATGTGTTAAGAAATACTTTTTAATAAATTAAAAAGTAATTAAAACTGTTGGGAAAAATCAATGACATAAATGAGATAGAAGATTAAGGGAAGTGTTAAGATTAATCTATACTCATTATGAAAGTAATATTAAAAAAAATGTCTGACCAAGTATTTGAATTTAGAATTTAAATTGATTCAATAGAATAAAACAGCAATCTTTTTTTGCTGCTGCTATATATCCTCAAAAAAAAAAAGTTTGATATAGTTCAAGTTATAAATGTAAACATTTGATGGTAAAATTAAGTGTCTATATAAAATATTTCTTTCATAATAACATCTTATAGAAATATGTAAAGGACATTATTGACCTTGAGAAGAGTTATCTCAGTATTGAACTAAGCAAATGGCAAGAGGCGCGACTGAGGTGAACACAAACATACTACCATGGCATACTTATCATTTAGAATGTACACTTTGTTTATGTTCCTATAATTCAAGATTTCATGATACTTACGAGTCTCCGTCGTCATCCTGTTTGAAATATAGTAACGAGGTAATGTCTTTTACGTCTACATGTGATGGTAGTGCCGTGGGTGTCTCTTCTAAATCCAAATTAATTAAACTTTCCGTTAAACACACCACTCCACTGTCAAGGTTTGTGTCTGCACTAGCACTTTCCACTTTTTTATCATCCTCACAATCCACAGCACCACTGTCTAATTCACCAGAGAACAGCTGTTCTCCAGACAAAAAACCAGAGTCCGTATTCTCATCTTCAGGAATCTTCGTTCCAAATTCCTTGTTGGCACTCATTTTGATCACTAATTTCACTACTTATCACACTATTGTCACGATTTTGTTTCGAATTTAGAAACGGTCCGAAATCATTGTTAAAATATATGCTAAGGATTCCGACCACCGCTTCACAAGAATAGCGCGTACATAATGCAAAATAGAATAAAAATGAACGCTATACTTCGACGATGATGAAAGAAAGGTATTTCCGTACTTTCCGCGTTCGGATACACAACGATGACAACGTGGTACAATGTTATGAAATAAATAAATATTTATTTTTCTTATGGCTGCGTTTTCTTGGCACCTTTTTAACTATAGAAATTTATTTTTTGTAGTTTCGATTTCTCAATAATACCTTGTTTATGGTCGGGGAAAATAATTTGTCTTTTAATTATGGATAGTCCTTATATATCATTAAAAAGTTCGACGGAGACGATCTGAGTTTTTCGGTAAATTTTAATTAATCACCGCACCATGTCTTTTAGCTAGCAAAAATAATTTAAAATATTAGAATAATGGAGCATATGTGAAATAAAAACAAGGTTGGTAAGATTTTCACAATTATACCATGTGCGCGGTAGCACTAGAACATTCTGGCTGAGTTAAATTTAAGTTACTACAGTTATTAATGATTTAATAGATTTAATATAGTAGTAGTTAATAACTGTAGTAGGTAGTAGTAGTTGCAGTAATTTATTTTACGGATGTGGTGCAGCTAAAATACTAAGTCATAATATGTAACTTTTCAACTGTGGCGGCAACTTTAAAGATTGAAATGACACGTTATTGAAACTGTCACCCGTACCATGCTACAGCGCACATGCTATAATATACAAAATTGTTTCTATTACTTCATTAGTATAATTTAATAAATGTGACTACGAGATTTCGGTTTAGTTATATTATCGTCTGTTTAAAATCAACAATAACATCTTTGATTGTTTTTGTTAACTCTCCGTATGTTATGAGAATAAAACTAATATATAAATTTGTTTTAATGCATTTGAATTTTTGAAAATAATGAAAGACTAATTTGTAACTCCATGAACGTTACTGATTTTCTTGCTAGCTGGCATTTCAATTTAAACGTGTATCCGAACATAATCATGCTGAACTGTCAAACAGCTGTCAACGTCAAACTAAAATTTCAAATATATTTAAAAATTATAATAAACAAAACAAATAATGAACGTTTTAAAAAACTTTTAAATAAGTAGATATTTTTAAATAGGCGATTTTATATTCATAATTTTGTAAACATATACATATATAATTAATGAGATTAAAAATTGTGTAAATGCGTATTGATAATGTTTGCTGAAAAAGTTATAGAACTACTGAAAGAAGCTGAGAGGAATAAAGACACTATTGATCAATTTAATGTAAGTATTTGTGAAGTATTTCTTGCTTCAGAAAGTATGGGAAATATTGCATAAACTTTCTGTGGTCATATCTACAACATAGTTTGTTTAACCTGTGTACCCACACAGGTTAACCAAGTTATACATTTGCTGTATAATGAAGTGAACCACTAATGAATCATTACTCTCCATTACTCTCCTTTTGTATTTTATTAGTACTATACTTTTAATAAGCTAACATTTAAAATAAATAACAAATTTATATATGACATTCTGAGATTATTTGAGCTGAGACTGTTTTGTCTCTAGCCAATTAATACCTCTTGATTTAATTATAATCAGCAATTGTAATAGTTTATTTGAGATAAATAAAGGTGATTATTATTATATTAACATAATGAATAAAAACTTGCCCATTGCAGGCATGTATTTTATTAATTTTTTTGGCTGAAACTGCATTTTGAGTGCAGTTTAAAAGTATGTAACTATTTATAAGTATTAAAATTTATGTTTGATTTATTAGAAAAAATATATATAAAAAAAATAATTTCAAAATATATTCTAGTGTTACATTTATGTGACAATATATATGAAAGAAAATCTAAGTAATTAATCTGTTTGAACAATTTCATTAATCCAATTTTCCAATCCATTACCTTGTATGAGTGGCCTGTCAGTATATAAGACATACTCAATGGTCTAGTGCTTTAGCACACAGACTTATTTCCATTGGTCTCTGGTTCGATTCCTTTCATGGTGTACATTCATGAGTAAGATTGTTTGCATCAGTCTGGGTGTTTTCTATGTACAGTATATATGTATTTACAAATAAAAAGGTATTTAAATATTTTCCTTTTGGCTGTCCGATTACCTATAAGCTTGGGACTAGATAGCGCTATGTGAGTCGTCAAGGGTTATTAATGTTATTATATACCATTATTGCCACCAAGCCTTTTTTATTTCAAAGTTCAAGTATATTCAGTATTCATAACAATTGCAGTTTGATGATTTGATACAATGTCCCCAAAATGGTATGCTCTTTGGTATAGGCATTATGCTATATTCACTGTAACTCTAGTAGTATATTATATATTACAGTGTTAGGTTAGACAATTATACTATTCTATTATTACCACAAAGCTTTATCTACAAACCATACCCAAAGACAATGATACTTTTAAAGTTGATACTATTAATAGTGTGAGTTTATTTATTTTTCAGGATGACAAAATACGTCAAATTATTGAGGAGATGCAAATGCTGTTCAATTTGAATATGAATGATGCGTAAGTATATTATTAAAAATTTTATATAATGTATAATTGATATGACTAATATTATAATAGTTGTATAAAATGTAAATCCTATTAACTGTATAAAGAATCATTAATATTTATAATATATTGTTAAACATATTAGAATAAGACAACATGAAAATTACAAGTATTTTGTTCATTTAATAATAAATTACTTAATCCACATTTTTAGGATGTTGATATTTACAAAATATTTTATTATTTTTATGAATATATCATGTTATGACTGTAAAAAATATAACAAATATTAATTTTATTTCTATAGCAAACCACCAAAGAGATAGTCAATATGGAAAAACCCAAGTTCATGGTACTACCTAACGTCTTCTGCATAACATGACTGACTGGGATAAAAAGTAGCGTATGAATAGAATAGAATAGAAAATCATTTATTCAAATAAACTTAATTTAAGCACTTTTGAATAGTCAACATTTTTTTAAATCTAACGCTAATTCGGAAAGCTGTCTCATCACAAGAAGAATAAGCAAGAAACTTGTGTGTTGCTCTTTTAAACAATCCTTGTAAGTTCACATTTTACAAGTCGAAATGTGTGAATACAAACTACCAACCAGCACTAATTTATTTAGGCTCAAATATAAAAACACAATATGATTAAATCAGTCGTGGTGATAAGAGTAGACCAGTCCCTACAAGCAGCACTCGTTCACGAGTATGACGGATGAGCCAGCCATAACTGCGCTCGACCATATTTTAGGGAGCCCATTTTTTATGTTCTTCATTATTCCAAAATATTAGGTGGCATATACCTATAGATATTTGTTTAGTCAGTGTAAAAATCCTGAAAGCACATATAATTAAAAAAATCACTTTCACTTTTACATATTTTTTATTCTGACTACTCTAATGCTGTTGGCCGCAGCTGACCTTTTCACCATTATCGAAGGCCTCGGTGGTGTAACAGTTTAGCACACCGCCTTACTTCCGATGTTCGGGGGTCGATTCCTTGCACGGTACAAACATTTGTATTCATGAGTATGATTGTTTGTATCAGTCTGGGTGTTTTCTATGTATAATATGTATGTATTTACGGAAAAAATGTATGTATTTGTATCAGTTGTTTAGAACCCATGATACAATCTTTAGCTAGATTAACTTAGATCTAGATGGCGCTGTGAATTGTCCTGAGATTATTATTATTATTGTATGTTCTATTTTCAAATCAGTTGTTGCTATTTTTATTATAAAAAAAAATATACAGATACATACTACATACATTTATTACTAGCTGACCCCCGTTACTTCGTCCGCGTGATTTTACTTAATTTTTCTAAAATAAAAGTAGCCTAAGTTACTTCTTATTACATCAGCAATCTGCCAAAAAAAAGTGTGGTCAAAATAGGTTCAGCCATGTCAGAGATTAGCCGGAACAAACAGACGGACAGACAAAAACGTTAAAAAAAGATATATTTTGGTGTATGTACCGTATTTATATTCATATGCATGTAGTAAAAACCGGTTATTTCAATATTACAAACAGACTACACTCCAATTTTATTTATATGTATAGATTTAAGATAACTATAGTGTTCATAGTTTTGTCGGAAGTATCAAACATATAACTAAGTATTTCCCATTAATGATAAGAAGTACCTAATCTCGAAATCGTTATCGTGTGGTTTTACAGTTGTATTTTCTTATTACGTTTGGGTTTTTAGTCATACGGTAATTGGAAATACTTTATGTAAATGTACTTGTAATACATTGTAGTACGTGAGACATTACTAGACATGTACAAACCCTATTCAGCTACTGTACAAGTGTTGAGAAACTCGTTTGATGTTAACATATTTAAAGTTTATTCTGTTTAAAACTATAAAGTCTAAAGTCAAATTATGTCACTTCGCTGTCTTCACATGATCATCTGCTTCTTCCTTATCCCATTTATTTGAGGTCGGCGTAATATGTTATTTTTCTTCCATTCATCGCCTCACTGTCTTACCATTAAAATATTTATGCCATTATAAATTGTTTTACTACATATTTCTACAACAACATGTAGCAAATAATTATGTAACTTATATATTACTTATTTGAATATGTATATTTTATTTACAGAAATGCGTCATCGGAAAATAAGTCACTGTGGACAACAGTTCAAGTGAGGCATTCAGCACTGGAGCGCAACAAGCGATGTCTTATGGCCTACCTGTACAGCAGAATGGAGAAAATAAAGACACTACGATGGGAGTTCGGCTCAGTGCTACCCCCCGACGTTCGGGAGTTGTTGTCTGATGAAGAATACGTGTGGTTCTCCAAATATTCTACCAATTTAGCCTCGTACATGCGATCTCTTGGCCAAGATATAGGGTACAGTGGCATAGATTTAACAGAGAATCTGAAGCCGCCAAAATCTCTGTATATTGAAGTTCTCTGTTTGGTGGACTATGGGAAGCTGGAGTTGGAAGAGGGTGATGTTATAATGCTAAAGAAAAATAGTAGACATTTTTTACCTACCTCCGAGTGTCAGACATTAATACGACAGGGGATTTTGAAACAAATATTGTAATATCTAATAAAGTATTTTTAAAAAATAAGTTTTCCTGTTTTTTTAGTTAGAAAAATACTTGTAGGTAGTCTAAATAAAAATCACGATGTTTTACTGAAACTCGTGTAGCGCTGTATGAATTATCCAGGGTTGTGTTCTTATTATTAAGTTTTTTTTATCAATATATTTCTAAGAACAGTTTTTGAATTGATGAATATTACTCATAGATTTCAATGCTAGAGGAAGTTTATAATAATATGTTAGGAATGGGATCTAAATTTGAGATATGTAATTTTAGACATATTATTTGATAATAAAGCAGTTTTAGTTATAAAATGACATAACTTGTCATTCTTGTGGGGACTAGTCTACCCTAATCACTACGACTGAGCGACTGGTCTGCTTTAGTCATTACGACTGGTTAAATCTTATTCCTTGTATATTTCATATTTTGACTCTAATGAATTAGAGCTAGTTGTACTTTTTATTCAAACATTTCCACTTAAAAATGTAAAGTTACAACAATTACTTGAAAGAGCAACACGCCAGTTCCTTGCTCGTTCTTGTGATGCTACAGCTTTCCAAATGAGGGATGATTAAAAAAAATAAACATGATGAAAAGTGCATAAATTTAAATTTATTTGATATTTAAAGAATTCATTCTATTACGTCTAATATAATACAATATATAGTGAATAGTGAAAGTTCGTTTTTAACTTCAAATAAACCCAGGTTTTTACATGTATTTGTGAGCTGTATTTATGACTGCGGCCTTTGTGATACTGATCCTGTGTTTATAGTATGATAGTGAATATAAGCCCGCTAATCTAGCTTTATTTATTTCTTTATGTACGTGATTTCCCCAATGTCATGCAAACACATTTTATCTATAATACGATTATCATTTTCATTTTTGGTGGACAAAAAAAATGTCCATAATACTCATGGTCTAAATTCCACCATATTTTTTTTTCCATATTCGTCCATTTATTTTTCAATGATGGAACAGGCAAAGTTCCTTAGACCGTACAGCCTAATTCCATCTTAATTAATTTAACATACTACAGATAAAAAATATTAATCAATTCTTGATTTGACAGACTAACAATAAATAAGAGTATAGGTATATACGTGTGTGTGTGTCAAATGCATGGTAGTGTTAGTAATGTTTCTTTTTGTTTATGCTGTTTTTATGATAATTAAATAAAAATATATTAGCATTCGGCACTACATTTGTATAATCTGTAAGTGTACGAAACTTGATATACCTCCATCCGCCCAATTTTCCTAAAAATGGGTATATACATAAATAGAGCACCAGTCGAGGATAATAAGATGACTTTGAATTCTGTGGAAGTATGAAAGTGGCACCGGTGTCAGAGAGGTTGAAGAATAATCGTCTATCATGGTATGGACATGTAATGCGTAGGAACGAGGATAATATTTTAAGAAAGGTGTTACATATGAATGTGGATGGTTATAAGGGCAGAGGAAGGCCGAAAAAGAGATGGATGGACTGTGTGAAAGATGATATGGTAAGAAAGGAAGTAAATAACGCGATGACTGCGAACAGGGATGAATGGAAGTGAAAAACATATTACGCCGACCCCAAATAAATGGGATAAGGAAGAAGCAGATGATGATGATGGTGCATATTAACATTTTTACATGATCGACGCGCTCTTGAATTTTTAAAAGGAAGCTCTATTTCAGTTTTTTTAACCTTTTTAGTGTCATGCCCCACTTTAGCCTTTCTAAAATTCTCTAAGTAACATACGTACTTTCTAAGATTATAAAATTGAATTGTTCACTTAAGTAACGTAAATAACGGTATTTAGGAAGAAATCACTAGTAAATTGTTAATAAAACAGAAAGTAAATTTTTAAAACATAATATATACAACAACAACAATAAAACATAATATATATAACAATACATAATAAACAAATGAAATTTATATTCTTTATAATTTTAATGAAGAGTTAATTTTCGATTTGCCCCATTTAACGATCAAATTGCCCCCTGAGGGGAGTTGGGCCAATGTTAGGAAATACAGCTCTATTTGAATTACCATAACTTGTAATTGATAAATAAAAATTGTATCCACAAAAAAATCATAAAAAAGACGTCTTTTTTTATTCCTCGCAACTGCGTATAACCCCATAATAGACTATCGGCTCTCTATTATGGGGTTATAGGTACTTCGTAAATATTTTATTATGTACAGCGGAACGTAAATATTTACTGCAAAATTTTTATTATGCTAACGTGCTTGGATAAGAGAAGATGCAAGGTTTCTAAATAGAGATAGAACGACTACTGAAGAATACCTATATCGTAATAGCGTGGACACATTAAGTAATTTAACTAAAACTATCACTAGTGCCATGTGTGGACCATTTCACTACCATCCACTAAAAGGAACTGCGTACTATAAAAAAAATAACGACAAATGACAACTTCGGACAAAGGTCGAGACGAGTTAATAGGCTGAAGGAACTCTCTAGAACTGCTCGCTGTATTTCCATGTCCACGTCCGTTATCTATCTCCGGGGAATTAAAGTGTATAAACAGCGCGCTCGCCCCGGGCGCTCTTCCGCGCGTGGCCGAACTTCGCATCACCAGCTCCCAGCTTAGCGTTTTACCTAATAAGATACTGCAACTTTAGCTATAATTTAATTTTATGTGACATTAACGTGTTCTGCTGATAAATCGACGGATGCCGCCGTTACACTTCATGCTTTCATAATTTACGGGTTATGTACTATTTACACGTGGCAGAGCCTTTTGCTTAATTAATCTTATAGGCATAAATGTGAGATATCTTAATATTGTGAGATAGTAAGAGAAAATCTATATTGACTACGTTTGGGACATATTTTAGTAGTAGAAGTTTTTATATATACCATCATGTATAACGATGTTTACTACGTAGTCTCTATTTCATTCTTAATACAGGAAAAATCAAAAGTAGGTAAGCACTCTCAGTGTGTTTCGTCCATAATATATATATATATAATATAATAAAGATGAAAATATTTCTTGGATGGATTTCAATCAAATTTCTCGTGAAAATAGGTTAAGTCCGGAGGATGGATGTATGTTGTCTGTTATTATAAAAAATAGAAATAATCTTTATTCAAATAAACTTAAAATAATCAGTTTTAATAGTCATATATTTTTAATCTAATAAGTACTCATTGAGAAAGCAGTCTTATCACAAAAAGATTGAGCAGGAAACTAGCGTGTTTCTCTTTTAAATAAATGTTTTCAGCATCGTATATTTAGGATTTGGTGTGAATGCAAACTGCCAAATAAAACAGACGAAGTTCCGGATGACGGTTAGTTATAAAAAACTATCATATATATGCTTGCATACTTTAGATTATGAAGTGAGCAATACAAAGAAATCACGGGTGAAATCGTTTTTTCCCGTTGAGGTTGAGGGGAAATTTCCAAAGACCCTTTTTTCCTAGTTCATGCATCTCGTTATACAATAACTAAAATATCCTTGGACAATTCACACAGCGCCATCTACTCCCAAGGTATGCAGAGCTTGTGTTATGGGTACTAGACAATTGATATAAATACGTAGATACAATTTTTTTTTGTAAATACATATTATACATAGAATACATTCGGACCGATACAAACAATCACACTCATGAATATAAATGTTTGTACCGTGCAAGGAATCGAACCTGCGATTAGCGGACAGTAAAGCGGTCTGGTAATCCACTAGGCTACCGAGACTGTCAGTGTCACAGGATTGTTAGTGAAAAAATGTAGACTATACTGATTTCCTAATTACATACATACGTCAATGAGTTTTTATGTACTTATATATCTGTATAATCTGTACTCGTTTATTAATGATACGACGTAATGTTTATGATACGAACGTAGAGTTCATTTCCTCAATGAAACTTTTCCGCGAGAATTTAGGGAAATCACTTTATAGTTATGAGGAAATTTCGCAAAATTTCCCCAACAATGGTAGATCCTAATGGGTATACCAGCCCAAAACCCAATGATAGTATTCATGAAACTGAAAATAATCCCTAGCACTGAAGGGTAAATCCTAAAATAATTGTGATGGGATTGTATAAATCATAGTTAAAAAGTGGAGATAAATAAAAACGCCATGATAGTATTTTCACTTATTTTAATTTAACTTATATATATTCTATAACTCTATTCAAGTAACAAAATGTACTCGTACGATGTTAGTGTTTTTAGGAGCGTTTTAAGGGAATCAAATCCACATCAAATCATTCTTTTTCTTAACACAAAATTTACTACACAAATTATATAGTATACTAGCTGTGCCCACGGTTTCACACGCATTAAATTTCGATATAAAATGTAGTTTATGTGTTATTCTGACGATAAGCTATATTACCGTAACGTTTCATTAAAGTCCGTTTAGTAGTTTTTGCGTGAAAGAGTAGCAAACATCCGTGCTCACAAACTTTCGGGTTTATAATATTAGATTTTTTTTCAGCTAGCGTATGGATACACTTAATAGGTACACCACCAATATTTAGAGGACCTGAGTATCGAATGTTTGGTTTAGGAACATGTGCATGTGGCCGGCTAATTCCGCAATTTAGAGACGCTATCCAACCAAGCTTGAGTTCCCGCCAAAATTGGTTGTTCTTAGCTGTATATTGTATAGTTAGTGAATGGATTAATTAAGAATTTCATTAAACGATAGTAGAATTAATGCATACATAGGACATATGTATGTATGAATAATTCCATATTTAATAAATCTAGTCTTAATCATTGATAAAATAATAACCTCAAAATGGTTCCATATTATAACGAAGAAAATCAAACGAATATAAGTAGAATAATGGAACATCTGTCATAAAAAACTAACAAAACTGTCTACTGAATAATACTATTAAGGAATAATATTATTCTATTATTTTCTACTTTAGCGTAGTTATTTTTGTCTATCTATATTGGTTCTATAAATGCAGTGACTAAGTAGTCAGGAATATAAAAGCAACGAATAATTTGATCAAATATTTTATATGACAAATGACGTGCACTAATAATTTTATTCATAAAATATAATGTGCTCGCTAGAAACGATAGATACTGCTTTAATTACAGTTTAAAATTAATTGTTTCTTTGTCTTAGGTTTTAATCAAGTTTTTCTTGTCCAAAGTCATATAGAAAGTGAGATACGATTGTATTGGTAGATTCGATCAATGCGGTGCTAAGTAAGCTATAGACTTTAGATTTTATGAATTAAAAAAAAAACTTAATGGATTTATATTATTTTGTTTCATTCCGGTACCTTTATCATGTGAGACCACAAATATTCAGAGCGGAATCCTGACCACCTGTGTGACTAAACTGAGCCAAATACTCTACACTAGTCTTCCAAGTCAAATCCGAGCTTTATTCATTGCCTAATGTATATATAATGTATAGATAAATAACGGTCGAAATTTGATAAGGTACCAATAAATAAGGTTGTAACGCTTCCGATATAAAAAAATTAAAAAAAAAATATAAATCCATTATATAATGAAATGGACTTCCGCAAAATAACACCTAATTCGATATAATATAATTTAAAAAGTTAGTAAAA